AATTTAAAGTGGGTCCTATTATCTAAATGGGTCATTTGATTCTCCTTCCGGGTTAATTTATTTTCCTACTTGGTTTTCTATGGCTTCTTTGATCCGAAGAGGTTTGGTCTTCGGTTTGACTTTGATGGCTTTTGGAGAGTTTTGGTCTCCGTGCGGGCGATTTGATCGTCGGCTTTGGATTTGATGTATTTTTTAGACGATCCGAGGCTTTGATCTTTAATTTGGCTTTGCCGCCTTTTGGAGGGCTTTGGTCTCCGTGTTGGCGATTTGATCGTCGACTTTGGATTTGTTGTCTTCTTTAGACGATCCGCAGCATTTATTTTTGGCTTGCCTTTTCCGCCTTTTGGAGAGCTTCGGTCTCCGTGTGGGCGATTTGATCATCGGCTTTGGATTTGATGTCTTCTTTGGACGATCCGTGGCTTTGATCTTTAGTTTGGCTTTGCCGCCTTTTGGAAAGCTTTGGTCTCCGTGTGGGCGATTCGATCGTCGGCCTTGGATTTGATGTCTTCTTTGGACGATCCGCGGCTTTGATCTTTGGCTTGCCTTTTGGAGAGCTTTGGTCTCCGTGCGGGCGATTTGATCATCTGCTTTGGATTTGGTGTCTTCTTTGGACGATCCGCGGCTTCGATCTTTTGAAGGGGTAGATTTGGTGCTCCATAACGCTTTTGGCGGCGTGTCCCTTTGACTTTTGGATCGAAGAGGGCCGAGTTGTTGCTTTGGTGAAAAACGCGATGAACACCTCGAATCTTTGAGATGAACTTTGAAGACCTTCCCATTGGCTTCAACGAATTTCTCAACGGCTTTGAGAGCTTTGATCCTTCCTCCGGCTTGGACATACGACGAAGAACGTTAACTTCATCGATTCGTCAACCAATATTGGATCATTGTTCAAATCGGTGACTTTTCGACGAAGAACACTTCGAAGGACACGAAGAACAATGAAGAACATTGCAGAGAGTCTAGAGAGATTTGCCCTTGCACGAGTCTTCAAATGAACTTCGGTGTGTCAAATGAACTGGCCATGACTCCTATTTATAGAGGATGGGTGGCTTCGGCTTCCTTTTTTAATGGTGCCACGATGCTTATTTTGATTGGCCAATAAGAAGATTTTATAATATTTCATTTTCCATCGGATGCTATCTTCCATTCTTGACGAATTTGATTGTGCACTTTCTTTTCTCGCCAAGATCATTATATCATTGCCCTTTTTCAGATGATATTAATTTATATACTTCCTTTATTGACAAAATTAATTTATTTTGCTGCCAAATTTATTATGGCTCTATTTATGCACGTAATATTTGTACGATATCTTCCATTTTAAGCAAATTTTTGCATTAATGATTGATATTTATTGTACAAAAATTAACATATGTGCATAATTAAATACCATATATTTATTTTATTGGAATTTTATTTTCTTCCAAAATACATGATATTTAATTGATTTTAGACATATATTTTTAGTGTCTACAACAATGTTTTTTAAAATTATATTTTAGTACAATTTCTTAAAAGATCGTAAAAATTAAATATTTTAACAATAAATTAAACTTCATTTTTGTAGAGAAATGAAAATAGAAAAATAAAAATGATTTATTTCTCAAATTCTATTTATCTGACTCAAACAAACAAGAGAAATGATACAATTTTCATTTCTCTGGCCTCATTTCTCTTTTCTCTCTCTGTGCCAAATAAAATCTTAGTGATTCTTACGGCATACACTGAAAATACAAATGTTAGTTGATTCAATTAGTTGGTTTGACTAGCTGATTCAATTAACGGTTTGTATTAAATTGTTTGGTAAAACAACGGTATGATATTAGTTGTTTATACATAAAAAAGACTATTAAGGATATTGATATATTATTTTTTTAAATATTTAATTTTATTCATTTTAATTTGAAATTTATTAGAATTTTTGTTATTAATTATTGAAAATTATAAAGATATTATAAAATATTTATTTTTATTGTTATTATTTAGATCTGAGAAAATTAATTTTACTAAAAAATAATAATTTTTTATTGAAATTATGTAAAATATAAAATAATAAATCTTTCGTATATATAGTTTTATTATGTTAATTATTATTTTAATATATATAAATAAATTAATAACCTTTGTTTTTTTTATTTGATTTAGTTTTAAAAATTTATTTATTTTACAAATAAAATAATTTATATATAATAATTAATAATATTAATTATTTTAAATTTAAAAAATAAAAATATAATTTAATATATTAAATATATTATAAATAATTAATAAATACTGCTATAAAAATATATTTATATGTATAAAATAAATAAATTAAGTTTTAAGGGTAAATAAGGAATAACCAAAATTAAAATGAAAAAACTATTTCAAAATGTTGGGTAGACGAGCTTTAGAAATGAGCTTTTTAGGTTAAAAAACTCTTTAAAAAGCTAATTTACCAAACACCTTAGTTTTTTTGACCGGTCAAATTCAATAAGCTAAAAGCTCTTCAAAAAGTTGTTTCTCAAACACGCTCTTAGAGTGTATTTGGCAATTAGCTGATAGCTGTTAGCTGATTCAATTAGCTAGTTTGACTAGCTGATTTGATTAGCTGATTGTATTAAAATGTTTGGTAAAACAACTATTTGATATTCGCTGTTTATACGTAAAATGACAATTGAGGACATTTCTATTTTATTTTTGTTTCTAATATATTCAATTATGTTCTTTTGAGTTTAGAATGTTTAAAATTTTTTGTTATTACTTATTGAAAACGGTAAAAGTGTTATAAAAGTATTTATTTTTATTACAGTTAGATTTAAAAATAATATATTTTTATTAAGATATATAAAATAATAAATTTTTCGCGTATATATTTATTATGTTAGTTATCGATTAGTTCATTATATTTATAATTTTCAATTAATTTAATTTATTTTTAGTATAAAATTTATATAATGTAATTTTAATAAAAAAATAAATTATTAATATTTATATTTTATATTTTATGTTGATTTTAATACATTTATATATTTTACAATTAAAATAATTTTTATATAAAAATTAATTATTTTAAATTTATAAAAATAAAATTATAATATAATAAAATATTCTAATATAATTAATAAATAATCAAAATATATTTATTTGTGTAAAATACATAATAAATTTTTAAGGGCATATAAGGAATAATTTTATTTTTTTTTACAGAAAAAGCTATTTCAAAACGTTGGGTATGTTAGCTTTTCAGAAATTAACTTTTTAGGTCCAAAAAGCTATTCTAAAAAACTAATTTATCAAACACCTAAATTAGCTTTTTGACCGGTCAAACAACTAAAAGTTGTTCAATAAGCTAAACGCTCTTAAAAAAGCTATTTGCCAAACACCCCTTAGTCTTTTTGTCCAAATATAATGACATAATTAGTCTGAACATAAAGAATATTAAAAATTTTAAAAGTTGAATTAATATTATTTAAAAATATTATTTTTATTAATGTATTATTTTTTAAATATTTTATATGAAAACTAATATATTTTTAATAGTACATATTTTTGGCATGTTCAACACTTCAAAATAATTATTTAAAAAATGTCCAATTTTTATTTTCTAAATGTTTTTACTTTATTATCAAATCATTTGCTCTGTTATCTCAATACCAAATTTCAATTGCAATTCTAAAAGAAATTTAATAAAAAATACTACATAAAATATTTTATGCAAAAGTCAAAAAATTATTTGACACAATTTTTATATGTCACACATCAAAATATCAAAAATCATTTTATTCACTTGTCACTTGTCACACGTAGTTAGCAAGTGTGTCTTATCGAACCTAGTTTTGAATGTATTAGAGCACCCACAGAAGATCTCATTTTTCACCTCCACATCAGTGCCACCAGGTAAACAATTTTTGTTTAAAAAAAATTAAAAATTTTCTGTGCATCTCAGAGATCAAAGATGCCCAGTACATTATTTCCTTTTTCTTTTTAAATTTTTTATATTTATTATACTTTCTCCGTCTGCTATAAAGAGAATAACATTTGTTTTTTACACATAAATTTTTAATATTTGTATTATATTGAGTTGCAGTAAAAAAGACGAAAATATTTTATTAGTATTATATAATATAAAAGTGGTTGCATTTGTGTAATATATTTAAGTTGAAAAATATTTATTATGTTAGTGGTACAATTACTAAATTAAGAAATAATATATATATATATTAATATATGTTTTTAAAAATGGAACTGTTATGGGACTGAGGGAATATTATATATTTTATATTTATGTATTATATAAGATTTTATTTTCTACATGATATATATATTAATATATGTTTTTAAAAATTTTAAGTTCATAAATAAATAATTTTGATATAAATATAAATATAAAAGTATTTTTCTGTTGAGTATGAGGAGAAAGGGTATGAAGTGAAGAAAAGAGAATATAAAATTATATTGAAGAGATATTTGATGAATATTTTTGTTGCAAGTAGTCTTAGGTTCGACCATCCGGTCTGTAATTTCGGATAGGTAATTTCGGGTAGCGGCATGTTTCATTTTATTCAAAACCTGCTTAAATGAATTTTTACAAAATAATAATAATAATATTAAAATTATTTTTATACTATTTTTAATTATTTATTATTATTATTTATAAAATTTTGGGCCAAAAACAATATATAGTGACAAACCACTTCAAAGTGCAGTCCCCTTTCCACTAATGACGTTAAGAATAAAGTAATCTATTAAACAAAGAGATGATCGTTACAAATTCAATTGACAGCCAAAAAGCGTAAACGTGAAAGAACAATAACTCGACTTCCCAGTCCCACCTCCAAGGAAATAAATAGACAAAGAAATTGAAAAGCTCTGAGCCTCAGAAATAAAAATAATTTTAAAAGATAAAAAAAAAAAAAAGAAATGATCGGCAACGAGCATCGCTCAAAATTGCGCCAATGTTATGTGTGGGCTATTCAGTCCCCAATAAATACAAATGAACTTTCCATTGATGACGTTCCTCCACGTATCTTCACTTCCGCCCTTCCTTGCCTTGTCTTCACTACTGTACTCCAAGTTCATCTGCACATTCGTGATTCACGCACTCGCCAAAGCACCAGAAGCCGCCAAGCAGAGCGCAACAATTGTTTTCTCTCCTGTTTAATTCCAATTCTAGCTTTGTGCTTTGTACAATTGATACAGCCTCGAAGATTTAAGTGGTACTCTTGAATTTTTCGTTGAAAAGGTTCCGCCATGGACGCAGCTGCGCAGCTCGTCTACTGCGGAATCGACCCACTCCGTCGCCGTTCGCCGTTTGCTGGAGCCAATTCCAATAGCAGGTTAAGAAATCGGCTGTTCACTCCGAGAATTAAGCGAGATGGCGTCGTGAAGGCAGTTGCCACGGAGCCTCGGCCATCGGATACTAAGCCGCCTAGTGCCGTTAATGGATCTACGAAAACAGCGTCGTCCAAGCAGGTCAACGGTGCATCGACTGTAAGCTGACGGATTTCCTTTTCCACGTACTTGTTGTAAATGTTTTTGTTAATGCAATCAATTTTCATTAATAATGGAGATAGGATGACAGTGTGCTTCGTCCTCCTGGTTTTTCTTTTTTGTTGTCTTTATTGTCTAACTGTTCTATAAACTCTGGTAAGTTAGCCGCAAAGAGAGAAAATAGCATAATGCACTTCAATTTTGCAACACAATATATTTAACGTGTAAAACAGAGTTTGTAACTGAAACAAGTAAGTGATGAAAAACCCAGGTAGGAGTTACTGGTTAATAACAGGTGAGATGTGTGAATAACATTAATTTGTACGGATGCATGTATTTAATCCTTTTAGCTATTCAATTTACCTTTTCTGTGATGTGTATTGGTATGGTGTCCTGAAATGATAACTTACTTTGTGCATGACCTTGAAATGGCAGAGAATGCAAGATGTCTCACAGGAGATCAAAAGGGTGCGGGCTCAGATGGAAGAGAATGAGCAGTTGGCTGTTCTTATGAGAGGGCTTCGTGGTCAGAATTTGAAGGACTCATTGTTTGCTGATGATAATGTCAAGCTCCGCTTAGTAGAGGTTAGGCAGTTGAATCTGATTTTGGTTGCTTCGGACTCATTTTGTATATTTTTTTTAATACTTGCTTAGTGTGTGCTTGTTTTTATTTGCTATACTTTATTAAGAAGTCAATTCTCCCTCTAGATATGTTGTGCATAGCATTCCAGCTGGGCAGATGTCGTGAATGATAATTTTTGACTTCTCAATTAGAGTGAGTAATTTCATGTCCTATAGAGTATAGAATTCACTTACTATAGTTAGGTGCTATAATATCTGGGTTATGTACTTATACATTGTATCTTAAGCTAGAGTACATATCTTGATACTTAATCATTATGTGTAGTTGCATCATCCAACAAATAATTTATTTTTTATTTTTATATTTTTTGGTGTGGATTATTTTTCCTAATGTTACCTATTTTTAGAGTTTTAGATGCTTCTTAAGAAATTATATATCTTCAAACTTATTAGTTTCATATTAGAATTATATTATGAATAGCTAATTCCCTAATGCAGATTATACGAGATAGTTATTTGTTTTGCTTTACTACTTATATGGATACGTTGCTGTCATACATAAATTGAAAAATACCAGTATGCCAGAAGGTATATTGAAAAGCCATTAGAAATGTATTTTTAAAAAATGAAATAGAATGATACAATGGGCTTGCAAAATCTTCAACATGTAATATTGTATAAGTCAATGTCTCAGACATGTAACGAAGAATAATCATTTGTCGTATTGAATTCATGACGTTATCTTCTAATTGGTTGACACAATTCTGTTTTATCTTTTATTTTAGCTAATATAGTGCAGTGTTAATAATTTTTGCTGAGTAGTTCCATCAAACTGATCATATGAAGGGATTATTTTAGGCAGATCATGTTCACAAGGAACATTCTCACTTTAAAATCTCTCCTTATATATACTATATAGAACTTGATATTGTTGTTAACTGGTAAGTCTTGGACAAAGTCAGATGCATAAATATAATAGATCAAAATTAAGTCTGTGCTTCTGTTACAAAATAAAATAACACAGTGTTGGCAACATTTTCCTGATACATTTATCTGTTAAAGCTAATGTGCTGTGACATATAATAATCTAATGTACTATGTTAAAGCATTGCCATCAATTTTCAGATAGTCATATTTGTTGAAGTTAATATGTTGTGATAAACACAGATCTTCCAGCCGGTAGGCTGTAAGGACAAAATTCTATGATAAGACACTTATATATAGTTGATTTTATGAAACTTTAGGTAGATGAGAGCAGTGAGTTTTTGCCATTGGTGTATGATCCAGACAGCATTGCTACTTATTGGGGGAAAAGGCCACGTGCTGTTGCCACTCGTATTGTTCAACTGTTATCTGTTGCTGGAGGTTTTCTCTCTCATCTTGCCATGGATCTAATAAATAATAAAATACAAGAGGTAAGTGTTTTATTATTTTTTTCCATATGCTTTAGTTTTCTAACAGATTTATAAATGTGTTTAAACTTATCAATGTTTTAGATCCCTTGTAGGTTCTCCTATTTTATGTTGTAAATATGTTATTAAAGGAGATTGGTGGCTAATTACTGTTGGTTGGCATTTGTTTGAGCTATTTCATTTTAAGTTTCTTCTTCTTCTTCTTCTTTTCTTTTTTCACAATGAGTTTCTTTCAACCTGAAGGTGGTAAATAGATAAGTTCTGAAATTAGCTAAGACATAACAAAGAAAATGTTTTCATAGAAGGTTTAGACTACTGACTTTACAGTATATGCTATATGTTACAGTATTATTACTTTATTAGGGATTTCTATTCCCAAGCTTGGTAGATGCATATGAAAACTTTATTGGAAACCCCCTGCTTGATCTACCCAAATGAAATGTAAATCGATTGTTATGTAGGAAATTTTCATGTGAGAGGCCAATGCACTACGGTAATTGGAAAAAAAAAAACAAAAAAAAGGAAAACAGAACAGTCCAATTTAGCTGCATTTACTTATGAAAAATATACCTTTGGTTTTCATTTCACCAAAGTAAAAGGTAGTTGGGATCCTTCTAGGTTCTCCATATTAATAGTGATAAGGGGCGCTATGTGGAGTTTAGGGTGGCCTAAAAATCCGATGCATATATAGGCAAATAATATGTAGATAAAAAATAAAGAAAATCTGTAGGCCACCAATGAGAATTGCCCATCCTCTGTCAAATTTACATCTGTTGGCACCTGGTTCTGTGGCTGTTTATTGGATTTGGCTTTCTACGGAGGAGCCAAAAAGACCCTTTTCATAGTAAGATAATTGCATGTCATGTACAATTTACCTAGATGGCTGTGAAATCTTTGCTTGATATTATAAAAAATGAGAAAACCATGACTATCCTGTAACACATTAGATAAACTCGATGGCAGATTATGCAGTATGCACAATATCAGAGGTCTCAGCAATGCAAAATATGTATATGTGATTTTCCTTGTTTTAGTTTTGTTGAAAATTCTGTCTTGGCTATATATTTCACCTCCTTAGTCCTAGGAAACAAAACTCAACATGATGAAAATTTTTCTTCATGTGAGTTTTGTAAACCTTTGCATTTTCTATCTGACACTACTTCATGAAATACATCCACAAAATATTTTGGCTAATACTTTTGATCACTATTTGTTTCATTCTAATCATATTTGTGTTATTTGTTTTTGTACAGAATGAAGTTGCTCGAGCTATAGAATTGAGAGAGATAGTTACCTCTTTGGGTCCGGCATACATAAAACTTGGGCAAGCATTAAGCATCCGACCTGATATACTCTCTCCTGCTGCCATGGTTGAATTACAGAAGCTTTGTGATAAGGTGAGATTATATTTCAGTAACGCGCTGATTTATATAATCCTAACAACAGCCTTCCCCTTTCAGGCCTAAATCTAGAATGGGGAGAAACTGAAATTGATGATATATTAACTCTCAATTATATTCTTAATAATTATCAAGTATTCTTGCAAATTTAAGTTCCAACAAGCTTTGGAAATTGTTCAGCATGATCTCCAGTTATTTGCACTTTGGCGTTTGAAAGAATTATACTCCTTCACTTAGTCTCTTGGGATGTGTGTGTGTATGGTTGATGATTTCTCTGTGGAAATAAACTAGAAGACTCTCCAAGGACTAAGATGCTTGGAACCTGTGAAGTCAAACTGTCCAAGGACCCCTAATACGAGGGTTGGAACCTGTAAAGTCAAACCAACTTGGGATCTTCAGGATAAGTTGCAATTATCATAAGTGAATTCAGAATTTATGAACCTTCTGAACTGTAGTGTAATTAACCGATTATAGGTTGCTTACATGAATGATTACACAAAAACACAAGTTAAAAGGTAGAGTTTATTGGAAAATGCTCAAAATTTTTGGCTACACAAGCTTCAAATCCAACTTCAATGCTGTTGGGATTTGAATGCAATTTAAACGCCATTTGATCACCTCAGATCCCAATCTGTGATAGATGAAGATCAGAATATGAATTTATTTTCTTTGTTCATGTGTGCATCATACCAAATTTGAAATGCTGTGGCCTTTCCTTCTAGTATCTTGTTCAAGTGTTGTTTCTACTTTGCAAAATCTTCCCACATTGCAGTAGTGTTCAAACAATAAGCAAGAGGTTTATTCATGTTCTCTTTAGTATTTAACTTCTTAATACATCACATCTGTAGGTTCCATCTTTTCCAGATGATGTGGCTATGGCTCTTCTTGAAGAGGAGCTGGGACAGCCGTGGTATAATGTCTACTCTGAACTTTCTCCTTCTCCTATTGCCGCTGGTAATTTAAATTGACTTTATCTTTTTCCTTTTTTCCCTTTCTTTTTTATCATATGAAAATTGCAGCAAATTGCTGCTTTTGTAACTGCTTCAAAAATGGTGCTTCCTATTCTTAGTTTGACTCAGACCTTAAAGGTTCTATGCTTCTGCATTTGACAATGAATGACAGCATCCCTTGGCCAAGTCTACAAGGGTCGCCTAAAGGAAAATGGGGATTTGGTTGCTGTCAAGGTACAGAGACCTTTTGTTTTGGAGACAGTGACTGTTGACTTGTTTATCATAAGGAAGTTTGGAATGATTCTTCGTAAATTTCCTCAGGTATTGGTAGTGCTTAATCTGTTTTTGTATGGATTGTGAATAAACCATACTTAACTCATTCAGGTGAGTCTCAATCTCTTTTAGATCTCCGTTGATGTCGTTGGATTGGTTGATGAATGGGCTGCTCGCTTTTTTGAGGAGCTTGATTATGTTAATGAGGGGGAAAATGGAACCTTATTTGCTGAAATGATGAAGAAGGACCTTCCCCAGGTAATTTTTGTAATATTTATTTCAATATAATATATATAGAAAGTAAAGCAAAAGATGTTTCAGTAAAAAGAAAAATGTTGCAGTGATGCGTTGTTCCTAAGGATATCATCGCACTATAATTTGCATTACAGGTGGTTGTACCTAAGACATATAATAAATACACTGCAAGGAAGGTACTTACAACACAATGGATAGAAGGAGAAAAGCTTTCACAAAGTACTGAAAGTGATGTTGGAGAATTGGTAAATGTCGGAGTCATATGCTACCTTAAGCAGGTATTATTCTTGTCGCTAGTTCATAAGCATTTGAATTTACGTGTTGCCTTTCAATGCCTTCTTAACTATCATAAATTGGATTGGAGATATGCTATAGCTACATAGGACTATTTTGGTCTTCGAGATTTATACATTTTTGAGATACTGTAGCACTTTTTCTCTGGTTGGTTTCCTTCGTAAAACTTTCATGTATTTTTGGTTCAGTATAGTCTGCTAGTGCATCCAGAATCTTGAATAATATAACTAATGATGTAATTTGTAATTGGGTGCCTTGAAACTATCTTGTAGGAAGCGAAACATTTTCGTAACAGTTAATCATCGATGTTTATGCATTTTTGGAAGTCCCTGCCTAAGGTTTTAGTTTAACAAAATGTGCGTTGGTGTGGTTGTGTGTATGCATGTGAAACTAATGATGGCGGGCACTATAAATTTCTCCACATGGAACTTCCCTTCACAAGTTTATTGGGATAAGGAAAGTAGTTTCAGAATCACATAATCCTTGTTGTTTGATCTGAGGATGCGGAAGTAATGCTGCTGGTTTTATCTGGCACATTGAAAATATCTATTTGAGGGGGCTTCTTCCTATGCCTATGATGGAACTATAAAGTTGAACATTCCTCATCTATGTGAAAGTTTTTCCTAAATATGTTGACATAAAAATAATATTTTGCCTGATTATGTATGCTTTAGGTTGTATTCTTTTGTGGGTGTTACCTCATGTTTCTACTGTTCAGATTCTTTTTTCCCTCTAAAAATATCTCATCAGACAATTATTTATTTTTTTTTTTATATTATACTATATATTTATTTTACATTCAAAACATCACATCGACCTCTATTTATATCACATCAAATAATTATTCAAATTCAACTTTTTACTATTCAAAAATCTAAACCCAAAAACTAAAACCCACAAACAAACACACCCTTAGTATACAAATTTTTGTATCTTCTCACTCATTTTAGTTTGTGCCTGTAGTTGCTTGACACAGGTTTCTTTCATGCTGATCCACACCCTGGGAATTTAATCCGGACACCAGAGGGGAAGCTGGCTATACTGGACTTTGGTAAGTCACTTATGAGTATATGTACTGGTTGACATCCCATGCAGCCCAAATCACCTTTTAAGAGCTATAGCTATCACCCCTACCATCCTCACGATATTAGATGCTTCTTATTCCTACATGGCCATATTTTGGTTAATTTTCATGTTTGTACGTGTTTGAAGTCTCATGGTTGTTTTCATATTATTTGACTCTGGAAAAAATGCAGGCTTGGTCACAAAACTTACGGATGATCAGAAATATGGCATGATTGAAGCTATTGCACATCTTATACATCGTGACTATGCTGCTATTGTAAAAGATTTTGTCAAACTTGGTTTTATTCCGGAAGGAGTAAATCTAGAACCCATTTTACCTGTGCTGGCTAAGGTTTTCGATCAGGCACTTGAAGGTGGAGGTGCAAAGAATATCAACTTTCAGGAGCTGGCCTCAGATTTAGCACAAATAACATTTGATTATCCATTCAGAATACCACCTTATTTTGCACTTATAATCAGAGCAATAGGAGTGCTGGAGGGCATCGCTTTGGTTGGAAACCCTGACTTTGCCATTGTGGATGAAGCTTATCCATACATCGCACAGGTACATAAAATTCAAATAGCCATATGGGGCCATTTTTTTAGGTCACTCCCACCATTGACTTGGATAAAGTGAATTAGTTACATCTTTGCAAGCTTAGTAAAGGCTTGAAAGTTCTCCCTTTAGTAAAATACCCAGCCTTGTCATTGTAGCCTGTACCCTTAACATGAAGTGAATTAAATTAAAATGAGTGAAAATAATTCTCAAGTAAGTGCAGAAAAGTACTGAAGGCATGTTTTTCCTGTATTTTTCTGTTGTCAGAGGCTACTCACTGATGAATCACCACGCCTACGATCTGCTTTACGCTACACAATATACGGAAAGTCAGGTGTCTTTGATGCAGAAAGATTTATTGATGTCATGCAAGCTTTTGAGAATTTCATAGATGCAGCAAAGAGTGGAGGTGGGGAAAATCTAAATGGAAGAATGGCAGAGCTTGGCATTCTACAAAATCAATCAAATAATTTACTACCTAGTTTTATTGGAAGTGCTTCTCAAACACAACCAATCCAAACTAGAGCAGCCCTGGGGTTTTTGCTATCGGATAAAGGGAACTTTTTTCGAGAATTTCTTTTAGATGAGGTATTCACTGGTATTACTATGATACTATCTTGTCTAACTGTGTTTTTTAGTAAATGTTTTTATGATAGACAATTGGTGAATACTAAGGTTGGTTTCATTGAAGTCCTTGTGCCAATAATATCATCCAAGCATCATTGTGATAAGATATCAGGATGCCTGGAGACTAGAAGAAGTTAGATTATGCTTTGGATATATACCATCTAGGTCATTAATTGATGGTGAATTATCTGTGAATTTAGCTAGTAAATATAATGATCAAAGCATCTGTGGATAGGATCATCTTCGTAATATATTGTTCTCCAGCTTCTGAATTCATGGAAATCTTTGTCGCAGACATTTTTTTCCTGTTTCCTATTGATAATTGATTATTCATTTTAATAAAGTCAATGTCATATTGAATGTCTGTAATCCAATTATATGGTGATAGTGTACCTGTCCACCCTAATGTTATTTTGATTTGCACTTATGAACAGGTAGTGAAAGGCATTGATGCTATCACTAGGGAACAACTAGTGCAGATAATAGCATTTTTTGGAATCGGAAATATATCCCCAGTTTTCAGCATGGTTCCAAGTCTGGGACCTATCAAGACATCTGCACTTCTTCCTACAATTACCGAGGAAGATAAAGTCATATTGAGCAATGTTCAGAAAATCATTGAATTCTTATCGTCCGGGGCTGTGGCTTCATCAAATCAAGTAAGTGTTGTTTTTCTCCAATCAGTGTGAGAAGATAAGAACATATGAATATACACAAGCTAGCAATATGCTAAATCAGAACAGCTTTTATGCATATGAACTTACACTGTGTCTGTAGACTATTTGATTGTGCTCATGGTGACATCAAATAAATGTTAGATTTTTGGTTCATTAGTGCCTTTGTAAAGCAACATAAGAAATGTCACATGAATACTGTCAAACAGTAGATTCCTAATCATGCTATTAATTTTACTATTTCAACAATAACAATTGTGTTAGTAAGAGGCTAGCCTGCATGCACTAATAAAGGAAAAACAAAGTTCTGCTTTAGCTGTCTTTTAGAGACACTTTATCAGATATTAAGTACATAGTGACTTTTGGAGGGCATGATAAGAATTGGTTGAGCCTTCTTCAAATGGTATTTCTGGTGTCCACCAGCAGCAATGCTGCAGGTATAAGTGAAATAGAAAAAAAGCTATTCCGAAGTATTTCTAAGAAATGGTATGCTGTCGGCATGAAATAGTGTGGAATTAGAGCTGTTTGGAACAACACATGAATGTTGATGTTGCAATGTGTTTGCCCTGCATACACGGACAGCATTTTGAGCATTCATTTTGTCCTTGATTCACTGCATCGAACTTGCTGTGATTTAATTACTTGGTAGTTGTCATGTGTTTATGTTTAGTGAAGTAAGAAGGTTGTTTGGTTTGGTTCCACTGGCACAGGGTGTAAATGTTCCACAAGTGATTCAAGAGCTGCTTCCAGTGTTGCCAGGACTATCTGCCAAAGTGCTTCCGGAGGTGCTTAGCAGGTTATCATCAAGAATACTGGCTCGCATAGTCCGAGATGCAATGTCGTGAGTAACCAGGGAATGCAGGTAGACTGGCTTTCTTCTAAGAAAGGAAATGGTCATTTTTCATGTGGAATTAGGTTCGGTTGGGAGTTACCCGGAGTGCACTCAATGAGTAGCGGCTGCAGATTCCCACGTCTGTCATAAAAAGAAAAAAGGAAGAGGAAAAGAAAAGGATAAGTAACAGGTAACAACTCATGTCAATATAATATATGATACAATGTCTTGACATCCATGAAGCATAAACTTTGTATATGGTAACTAAAATATATACAATTGTCTTGGTACAAGAAGTGCTAGTATAACTTTTCAACAACTATACATAAAGCTGATATCAATTCTATGGGTAAGATATATTCATGAGCTTGCAATGTACAGCAAGTACAGCTGGCATCTTATCATATTGGTTGAGATCAAAATGTTTCTATCAATATGCACAACACATGCATGCACTTTCCTTCCACAATGAGTTACCCTGCCCTCCATAGAACGAACAATTTGTTTCATCCCTAGCAATGTTGAATCAAGCAACTTGGAGCATATTGGGTGCTGGCAAGCATAATGCTTGGAACTAGACTACTTTATTTACCGTAACATTCGAGAGAGATGGAGAAAATATAACAATTGTATTTCTGTTAGTCTGAACTACAATAATAGAATGAAAACTGAACAACGAAGAATATAACTGTCTGTTTGTATTTATATTCTCTCAGACGGTTGGCATATATGTATCATCTTCACATTACTTTGTGAACTTCAAATTACCTTGTGATCCAAACGTGGCATTGCAAAGTTTAGCTTGAAGATTTTTTTTAATGCATATCATCTTAGTGAAGATGTAACTCAATGTGCTTTGTTTGTTTGTGAAGAATAGGATTCCGGACATGTAGAACTGACCTGTTATCACATAGCAGAGGGATTGGTAGTAAGACGGTAACCTTCAAGGCCGGTAAAATGTATGGAATCCATAGGAGTTCACATGCGGTACTTTGGTGGACGAGAGAGTAATTGTGTATATATAATTTTTTACCTTTCAAGAATATATTAAGTTTGTATCAAGAAATAGAGTACCTTGTAACTGATTTCCGATTGTCCGGACTCCGGACATGTCCCCAATTGACATCACAAAATGCCTCAACTTGCATAAAAGAATAAACTATGGTTAGTGATACCTTTTGAGTATATGAGCAAATCTAGAGCTATTATTTTATCAGAAAAAAAAAAAAAAAGAAAAAAAAAGAAAAACAAAACTAACATATGAACTGAAGAAGTTCAAAAAGAGCACCTTACCAACAAGTCTCTTATAATGTTGCATCCCAACTACGGTTGAAAGTCTCAAACCAACTGTTAAAGGGGTAGATGTGGCTTAGCATAAACATTTTCGTATCTTCAAGAATATCATCTATATATTTGGACTAAGATAAAATAATTCCATTACGAACTTGCTTAATTTCAATTCCAAGAAAGAAGTTGGCATCACCTAGATCCTTTATGGAAAAGCTGCATGTATGAAGTTTTTTACTTGTTGAATGAACTTCGGACACTAAGTTTGTGAGCAATATTTCATTAACATAGACAGTAAGCACAAGAAATTGAGAATCTTCATATTTAATAAACAAGCAATGATTATGAGAGGAGTGACTAAACCAAACTAGAGGACCTTTTCCTTCAATATTTGTTATCATACTCTAGGGGCTTGCTTGAGCCCATAGAGTAAACACACGATGATCGAAGAGTTTTGGAAGATTTTAAAATATCTTTTAAGATACAAAAATGATATATGTATAAAATAAAAATAGTGATGTGCATATTCATGTAGTAACTCCAAAAATTTTATCAAAAATAAAAAATCTCTTTAACTGGTGAGTGGTCCGGGTCGAACTCAAGGAATATATGAATATCCTATATTTAATTATAAAAAGTGCAATGAGTTAATGCAATCGAAATGAGCTAAAAAGACAAATTGCGGAATTTAAATCTAACTAAAAAATAATAAGATATATGTATCTCGAAGAGGATGGAACAGGGTGTTTGTGTGTGCCTTTTGCATTCCTCAATGATTAGACTTCCATTGATGAAATGAGCAAGATGACGATGGTGTACTAGCGGATAATATATGTATAATTTCGGATGAATGAGCGTGATTGCATTTGCTCACTTAAGCCCGATTCTTGACTTGGTTGGTACTTGCCCTTAGGGGATTTACAACGAGACTTCAACGACATCCGGCGAAGAACATTATTTGCTAGAAAAAATGCTATCATTAGACATTTCTATAATCCGATAGACAAACACGAGATATTTATAGGGATGAAAGCTTCTAGAAGGTTACAATCCTCCATACATAACTATTTTTAAAAATAGCTACTAATAAATACTTATAACTTACTAAAAACTACATATCTTCTAGAAGATTCTAGAATAAAAATACACAAAATAGCCAAAAATTGGCTAAGTAAAAGTGCAGAAATTTAATTAGATAGCATAGCTGGGAGAATGCAGTGCAGATTTAATGCAGGCAGGATGGAGTAGGAGTTGAGAGAGTCTGCGGATTTAATGCAGTTGCCGCTCACTAGAGTAAATGCTCGCTGACTAGCGGGAATAAATGCGCCGTTGACCAGCGAGAGTTAATGCGCCGCTTCGCTGAGACTGAGACAAAATTAATGGCCGCCGTTGAATTTCGAGCAGCTGCCGCTTCGCTAAATTTGATGGAGGGACTTCTGTACTCGCATGTGTCTGTGCAGCCGTTGAAATTCTGCGCTCATAAATACAGCCGCCGCTGATGGAAGGATTCCGCACAGCTGCCGCTCGTTTTCCGTACTCGCTTGCATTATGTGTAGAGTTATTTCAGTCGCCGCTTCACTTACCTTCATGCAAGGATTTCCACTTCGGTCACAGATTTCGTGTAGCAGTTTTCCGCCCGGCCGTCGCTAGCGTTGACTTTCTACGTTTACTGTTAACTTTTGTTGAATTTCGTATGGGCGGCTGTTTTTCATTTCTGAAGCCATTTTTTCACTTTTTTAGACTCCAGAGTAATTTTTCAGCATTATTTTACTTGCATAAATAATAAACAAATATTTATTTAAATAAATAATACTTATTAAACAAAAATAATTTAGTCAAATTTAAATACTAAAATAACACATAAATAATGCCTAATAATATAATTCAAGAAACACATCAATTAATTTAATTTATATACCAAAATAATTATAAATATGAAATAAATACAATTGTTGAAATAAATTAAAGATGATGTGATGACTAAAAGCTTTAAATATACCACCGTAAATTACATAGTACAATAAATTAAGATACAATGCGGCCAGTAGACATTGCTACGGATAATAATTTAGCTTCGACATTTTTGTGTCGACTATTTATTTATTTATTTTTTGTTTCCAAGTCGAATGTAAAGATATCGGCATCCTCCTCACACTATTCGTTCGTCAATCGTATTTTTAAGGAAACTTAATTCATCATGTTCGCTAACAAGCGCAACTAAATAAACGAAAGTTCTAAAAATTAGACTATGTATGAAACAAATGAAACGAAGGGGATATCAACCAACTCTAACAAAATTCGATTTATACTTATACTAAAGAATTTCAATTATTAAATAGATTCAAATTCAAACTCAAATTAAGCACAACGAAAATCGATTGACTCGAAAAAATAACACATTTTACGGCTAACTTTATTTTAAATAAATAATTATATATTATAAATATAATAATTTAACATCCCATGAATTAGACAACAACAAATTACACAAAATAAATTAATCAACATAAATTAAAATAAATATAAATAATTTAAGCCAAAATAAATTAACCTCACATAAATTAACTAGCACACATTATTTATCGTGGCTTATAATAAATAATCAATTAAATAGTGATTCAATTTTTGAATCCGCCTAAACCTGTATGTGAAGGTATGTGAAGGTACTAACCACGTGTAATATACTAAACACACATGATTAACTAATAATTAATTAAGCAAGCACACAAGCTGATTATCTAAACTAAACAAATAACATGAACTAATCTACAGATTAATCTATCTGAGCAGGTTTAAACCATTGATAGTAGGCCACTCAAACTAAGTAATGAAATTGAGCCAACATAGACTTCCACAATAAGAACCTAGACTAATGCTAATGATACTAACAGGAATAAGCGAGCAGAATATCTACATCATAAATTTAACAGGAGGGGTGGGGGGTGGGGGGGGGGGGGGGTGATGATTTGCTAAAACTAGCCAAAATTAGAATTAACATCATCTAAGTAACAAGCATCAGCCTAGTACAATAAATAAATAAATAAATAAGCCAACAAAAACCTACAATGGATCTAAAACTAAAGACTAAACACATGGCTAACACTAAAAAAAAAAAAAAAAAAAAATAGTATATTTGTAACGGAATTCCGTTCCTAAAGTTCACATAGCTAACGTAATTTCATCCCTAATTTCGTCTCTAGTATCATTAGTAATGGAAAAAGTGAATTTAAGAACGAAAAAATGTTGTTACAAAATTGATATTTTTTTTAGTGTAAAACATGATAACATTCCAGCTTTTAATTTAACAATTACACCACAATAGATTAAATTAATAATACTAATTACGGATTCGACTAATAGCTACATTAAAACATATCAACTAGTACAAACTAAGTAAGGAGCAATAGTATTAAACTAATCTAATGAAAGGAGAGGGTTATATGAATGCAGTCGAACATATGCATTAATCAAATTCAAGCTATCAACAGGCCATGCATATTTACACAACTAGAACTACACTTAACATACAAAGATAGCTAATCTAAACTAGTCTTAACTAATCAATAACATATAGCAGCTATACTAATTTACAGCCAGACTAATAACAACAAACTAACCAAAAACAACCTACTCTATCTATTCTACATTACTCGCTACATTAATCAACACTAGATTACAACTAACTTCGAAAGCTAATATGATAGACAAAAGAAATTACTATACTAAACTAAACATACATAAACTAAGCTAATTATCTAATTCTGACATTACTAATCTAATCATTATCGTAATGCACTAGATTATGCCCAAACTAATCGCACATATTCTACTTCCAACAAGTTAACATTCAATAATTAAAAAATAGCAGAATTCATCATAGATGTAATCAATCAAAACATGACGCTATGAAACTCCCTTTTCGACATTGTTGTTAGGCATGTGGAATATGCACTACCATGGAACACCCTTCTGATGCCTGTCCCACAATGACTCAAGGAGTGGATGTCAATGTTGCGGGATTCGCCCCTTAGAGCATACAACTCCTTCTCAAACACCTATAATCCAGGATGGAGGGACCACCCCAATTTGAAGTATGGAAATCAACAAGCACACGTCGGAGGCCCTTCACAAGGATTCCGCCCACCCAATCCCAATCAACAACCTCCTCAAGAGGTTCCAGATAACTCTTTACAGGATATGATGAAACTATGGCATCTAACGTTTTACAATTTCAACAAGAAACTCGAAATAGCATCAAGAGCTTGGAAGAACAAGTGAGTCAAATAGCGAATGAGATGCGCGAGATGAAATCAAGGGAGAAAGGTAAATTGTCTGCACAACCTGACGCTAATCCGAAGTGAGCTCGATGGTTTTACGAAGCGGAAAAGAATTAGAAGGACCTAAAATTGAAATTTCAAAGGACAAGGATGACGAGGAGACCGAAAGAGAGATAGAGAAAATTGCTCATGAAAAACCAAACAAGGTAACTTCTCAAACACTTACTTACCCTAAGACTAAAGCCGCACCATTTCCTTGTAGGTTAGAGAACCGAGGAAGAGTGATAAAAACAAGGAGATGATGAAGATGTTTAGAAAAGTGGAATTGAGCGTACCTTTTCTGGATGCTATCAAACAAGTTCCGAAGTATGCCAAATTCTTGAAGGAACTTTGCACGAATAAAAAGAGATTGCGAGGAGATGAGTGCATTATTGCTGACGAGAGCGTATCTGCTGTTTTACAATGTAAACTCCCTCCTAAATGTGGTGATCCATGTATGTTCTCGGTCCCCCGTAAGATAGGTAAGTTAGAGATTAAGCTAGCAATGTTAGATT